GAAAGTATGATTTTCTAAACAACCCCCTCCCACCCTGTGCCAACAACTTATAAAAAATAGGTAAGCCTTAAAGCTGCTGCCCAATAACATTACCTACATAAAAATGCCCTAATTAAAAAACCTACCTAACAGCCTCTCCATGAGTTGTATTCAGGCTTTCTCTAAAACATTTTAAATTTAATGTTTAAATTTCGTGTTAAAAATACAGCAAACTTTCATACTTTAAAAAATATATATATAATAATATATATATATATATATATATATATATATATATATATATATATATATATATATATATATATATATATATATATATATATATATATATATATATATATATATATATATATATATATATATATATATATATATATATAATATGTAAAATAAATATATAGCAATTTTTATTATTAATTTTTATTAATTAATTAGAGTAAAGTTTAAATACAATAATAATTATTAATACAACAAAATTTATGCATATTTATGTAACCAAGTTTATAAAATTTTCATAAAATCCATAATATAATATAATCATGATATAGCAACTATTTATATATTTCTTTAACAAAAATTAAAAAGATATTAGATTCTCAAACAGCATGTTCATTATAATGAACATGCTGTTTGAGAATCTAATATCTTAATTTTGTATCTAATATCTTAATTTTTGTGATTTGTGAAGTGATTTAAATGCGCTAGTGACGTGATTTGAATGCGCTATTGGAAGGCATTATGAATTGCGGGAAAATAAATAGCACTTGAGTGCTATTTATTTTCCCGCAATTCAAAATGCCTAATGATTTAAATCACGTCACTCTACGACTCAATATACTCAGAAAGTCACGCAATTCAATGCACACTCAGATTGCGAGAAAAATTTTAATTCAACTAGATTTTTTTGGTAATAATTTAATTTTAACGTAAGGGACAGATTGTTCCGGGCGGCAGATTTCCAAGGGGCACCAAATAGAATGAAGGTACCTTGGAATAAAGGTCCTTTACCGATAATATAGGAGAATTTCGATAATTAAGAACGCCAATCATGTTGCTGTCCCGGGCGGCGAAACAGTTCTTGGCGGCATTTTATATATATATATATATATATATATATATATATATATATATATATATATATATATATATATATATATATATATATATATATATATATATATATATATATATATATATATATATATATATATAGTTATTTGCTATTATTTAATTTGTTTACAACACTTTTATTTATATACATTCAATAAAAATAGTTTTTAATTATTTTTTAATTATAATATATTTTTATTTATTTTCATACTTATAATGTTGTGTAGCGCAGGTGGTAAGGCACGAACGGTCTAGTGATCCGGGTTTCGAAACCCACCACCGATAAGTTTTTCATTTTTCAAAATAAATTTAAAAAATTGAAAATCTTACGAATCCTTTAAGATACTCTACAGGATAATCACAGGATTTCTTATGATCTTATAGGATTTGCAAGACAAATAAAATCTTACGAATCCTTTAAGATACCCTATGGGTAATCACAGGATTTCTTATGGTCCTATAGGATTTGAAAGACAAATAAAATCTTACAAATCCTGTAAGATATCCTGTAGGATAGTATAAGATTATATGCGATCCTATAAGATTCATAAGTTGTCTGTAAGATAGTCGACTAGTGGTGACTTCTTGTAAGCTGAATAATTGCATGCTCTGTTGAATTATTTTTTTTGAATCCATATTGCATGTTATATAATAATTTGTTTGTTAAAAGGTGATTGTATATTCTGTTGTACAAAATTCTTTCTAAAATTTTAGAAAAAACAGAGAGGATGGAAATTGGACGATAGTGTTTTACATTAGTTTTTTCTCCTTCTTTAAATATAGGAATAATTTTTGCTATTTTTAAATCATCAGGAAAAACTCCCTGATTAATAGAGCATTTAAAAATTTGGAAAAGTATGTCTTTTAAAACGTCAAAACAGCTTATAATAATATTTCCGCTGACATCATCAGGACCAACTGCTTTATTTGACTTTAACAATTTAAAAGCACTTTCAAACTCTCCAAAAGACAAATCAAAAAAATTTAGATACGAGTTTAGAGGGTCATATGTTGCTTTTATTAATTTTTTAGGGTTCGGAATTTTTTCGGCTAGGTTTGGTTCTACAGATACAAAATATTTATTAAATTCAGAAGCAATTGATTTTTGATCAAGAAGAAGATTATCATCTACTTTAATAACTGAGGGCAAAGATTGCGAAATTTTTTTAGTGTTACCAGTAATTTCGTTCATTAGTTGCCAAGTGCGTTTTGAGTTTAATTTGTATTTTTCAAGTAAATTAGTGAAATATACATTTTTTTGAATTTTTCCTTAGGCGTTCAAATAATCTTACGTAATTTTTATAAATAGTCTTACTCTCAGTTGTTTTTGATTTTAAATATTTAATATAAAGTTTTTGCTTAATTTTTGAAGATTTTAGAATACCTTTAGTAATCCATGGCGATACAATTTTTTTATATTTGTAATTTACTTCTACTTTGGGAAAATTGATGTCATAAATTTCATAAAAAATTTTAAAAAAGGATTTGTATATTAAATTTATGTCTTCAGAAAAGTTTACAATGTCCCAATTAATTAACGATAGTTGATATTTAAAAGATTCTAGGTTTTTATTATGAAAAATTCGTTTTTTAAATGATTTTTTTTCATAACATATAATTTTCGCATAAATATCAATTGAAAAAAATATAGGGAAGTGATCAGATATATCACTTTTAATAATGCCTTTTTTAAGCGAATTATTAAAAATATCGTAGGTTATAATGTTATCAATTAAGGAAGTTGTTGTTTGAGTAATTCTAGTTGGTTTGTTTATTAGAGGAAATGCTCCGTTTTCAAATAGGCCATTATAAAACCCATTAATGTCTTTTTTGACATGATACTCAAAGCTATTTAAATTCAGATCACCTAATATGTAAAGTAATTTTTTTTCATGATTGCTTTTATTTATAACATCATCTTGTAAAAATGTACTAAAAGTTTTAATTTCGCCTGTAGGTGGGCGATAACAACAGCTTAACACAATGTTTTTAGTTTTATTGTTCAATATTTCAATTGTTAAAACCTCTTTATTGACATCAGAAATACTCATGTCATGCCTAATATAATACTGAAGGTTTTCTTTTACATAAATAATTAAACCACCGCCGCGTTTATTTGGTTTCCGTCCTAATGAAATCAAATTATAGCCCGGTATTTTAAATTTATTATCTAAACTTGAGTCATTAGAACTACACCAAGTTTCAGTTATGCATATTACACTAAAAAGAGTTAAATTTTCCTCAAAACTATTGCAAACCCGGTGGGAAATCGGCTAGCGAATAGCTAGCGATATTCGTTACGATTAAGACAGCGATTTGGCCACGAGGATCGTTAGCTTTATAAGCTAGCGATCCGCTAGCTAAACAAGCTAGCGAATAGCTAGTGATATTCGTTACGATAAAGACAGCGATATGGCCACGAGGATCGCTAGCTAAATAAGCTAGCGAATAGCTAGCACTAAGTCGTTACGATTAAGACAGCGATTTGGCCACGAGGATTGCTAGCTTTATAGGCTAGCGATCCGTTAGCTAAAAAAGTTAGCGACAAGTCGTTACGATAAAGACAGCGGTATGGCCACGAGGATTGCTAGCTAAATAAGCTAGCGAATAGCTAGCATTAAGTCGTTACGACAATGACATCGATTTGGCTAGAAAATTTCGGCTAGGTTAGAAGATATGCTCAAAGAATCGCGTGCTATATTTTTCAGGGGAGTGAATTATAACCATTAAAATAAGATTGCATTTATAACAAGTTAAATATAAAATGTTAATACTTGTTTCCATAAAAAGTTATAAATGTTAAAGCCATTATAAAATGTTAAAAGAAAAGTTATAGATTACTTTTGAAAAATAAAAAGTCATTAACAACTAAATGATTTTGCCTAAATTAAATTAATAATTTTAAAAGATATTTAAAAAGATAATAGAATAAAATTTCTGTCAAATTTTAGTTTTTTTTTAAATCTTTATCAATTTTCGAAAATAATTGCTAAAAAAGTTGTAACAAATAAAATATCTAAAAAAAAATAATAGAACAAATAAACAAAAAAAAATAAGTTAACTGGAATCACTACATGAGTCAGTGTTTAAATTTCTTTTTTTTCTAACAGGACTGTGTATTTGTATATCACTTGTTAAAGAAGAACTTCTCTTTCTTGCAGCAAAATAACAATATTTAGACTTTTTCAAGTGTTTTGCAATTATTGTAGTCATACTGGATTCAGTGGCAGTTGGAAATAAACAGTAAGCTGCATCAAAAATCAAACTTTCGACTGGTCCTATAAACCTACGCTTTTTATCTGCACCAGTTCGATTAATGCTGCAGCACAGCTTGTCTGTTAAACAAGTTTTAAAAGCATTTTTTAAAAATTCACTTACATTTCTCCCATCAATTTGCTTTAACTTTCTGCAAATGATATCTTTATCATTAGAGTTAATTATTTTATTTTCTAGTGAGTCAAACTTTTCAACTAAATTAGCTGGTAAATAATCTATATTAATATTTTCTTTATTACCATGATTAGTGTCTAAAATTGAACGCATGGAACGCATTTCTGTTTCCAACCCACAAAGTTTTCTGTATATGGAGTTCACTATAAATTAAATGCCTTCAACAGTATTGGGTTCAACATTTGCTTTCCGAATAAAGTTATTTATTTGGTCTATCCCAGTTTTTTGAGATGGTAAAGAAAAGGAAGAAGATGAATGCAGTAACGGTTGAACTTGTGAAACAGACTGCATTTCTGATGGAAACACTATCTGTGTAACTGGCAAGTCATCTACTTGATCCATTGAGGCAGAGACGGACAAAAAGTTCTAAACAAGATTAACAATGATTATAAATACATTCACAATATTCTGATTATATTATACTTTTTTTTTTTTTTTAATTAAAAAATGGTAACTAAAAAAAGCAAATAAACCATAAAAATTAAACAAAAAAAAATATTTTTTTTACAAATGGGATAAAATTTTAAAATGTATACTGAATCAGAATCAGGAAGCTTTGGTGGCTCCCATAATGGTAATGATGGTAAAGGAGGTTCTTCAAAAATACATTTTTTTTTCTCTTTCTGTTTTGTTGACTTAAAGGAGTTTTCTTGTGTTTTTTTTTTTGATGTATTAAAATCAATTTCTACTTCTGATTCTGCAGTAAGAATATGCTAAAAAAAATAACTTTTTTAATATACATACAATCATAGCTTTATACAATATACATATCATAGATCTTCCATGCAATATTTTAAAAATACGGAAATTTGTTTGGGTAAAATAACCGGAAAATATTTTCTCTTATTTTCCTCTTATTCTTACTTATAGCTGAGTTTTTTCTTTTTTTTTTTTTTTCAAACTTTTCTTTATTTTTTTATGAGTGATGAGTGAAAAAGCTTATAAAACAAATAGATGTATTTAAACTTTTAAGTATAGAAAATGTTTTAGATATCCAGCAAAAAAAAAGTTACAAAAATTTCCAGAATTCTGGGAATATCCAAAAAAGGTTAATCCTTGACATATACAAAAATCTATTACTAAAAAAGGAAAAAAGAAATCATAATAAATACAGCTCATAATCAACTCAACTTTACCTAAGTTAAATACTCAACACATTTTATGCAAGGCTTTGTGCATTGATTACAATAAAAATAATTTATTGAGTTAGTTTAAAAATGCTCACATTCAAAGGTGGGCCGAAACTACAACTGTATAAAAAACTATCGACATTCCGTACTAAAATATAGATAGCTAAAAAAAAGCTGCGATATGTAGCAAGCAAATAGCTATAGACTTTTTGTAATCTTCTAGCTAGCTTAAACGCTACTGTATTAGGCACTTCAACATTTTTAGAAAAAATGTAAAATGAAAACAAAACAAACTTCATTAGTTTGAACTAAAAATCAACAGTTAAAAAATAACAAACTTATCGTTTTATTATTATTAGTTGAAAATTTGTTTAACTTTTAAACTACAAAATTAAAGCTTTTTATTGTATGATTTTTGAGGTTTTCAGCAATTTAACGTTTTTAAGAATCGCATCAACGTTTTTGGTTTTATACAAAAGCAAAAACGTTGATGCGTTTAAACAAGACCGTTATTATTTAAAACTAAATATGTAATACCAAAAATTTTATAGTAAATGGAATTTTAATAATTAGGAAACAACCAACATTTGACATAATAAGTCTGTGACAACTTTTTTTAAACATTTTATTTAATGGTAACGCAAAAAAGGGTTTTTAGAAATAATAAAATGATTTTAAAAACTCATTTTATAAAACATAAATATCGTATAACAAGAAAATGATTTTAAAAGAACTTTAAATGACTGTTTAAATTAATATTAAACTGTTTAAATTAATATTATTTAAATAATATTTTGAATTTGAATTATGCATGAGTCAACCTTAGCCCCTATATTCATTTTGTTAAATTTTAAATATTGCCTATAGTGAGGAAAAAGCAAGTAAAAATATCTCAAAAACGCTCAAAGTAACCCTCGTAACGCTCAACAACAAAGTAACGCTCGAAGTAACCCTCAAAAACGCTCAAAGTAACGGTTTACGGTAACATAATAAAAACTAAAATAAAAGAGGAAAATGCGAGTTAAATTATTAGAGTCCTACATATAGATCAAATAAATGAAATGTAATTACCGTTGCAACTTGGCCCATCCGTTTAGAGCTTTGAAGAAAGCTGTTGCATTCCGAAGGTTCATCTTTAGATCTTTTACATGCCATTTTTGATATCGATATTGATATTTTTAAAACAATATGAATAGTAGAGTGATAGTGCGAAAAAAAGCAATATCGATAAAATTGTTGGTTATGTATAGTAAATTTCAATATGACAAATTAAGTCGTTAGTAAAATATTGCCAAAAATCATTAGTTGCATAACTGGTATTGCGTAATGCGGTATACTAAAGTATGTTAATTAAAACTTCTAGACAGCAATTTCATGACACGCGTTAATGCGTTCTTAATCGAGAAAACGAAAGTATTTAGATTTTTAAAATGAAAAATAAACTTTATTATAATATAGAAATAACCCAACTGTATTATAAAAATTAAAGTTTATATAGTTTTTTAATTTTTTTTTTACAGATATAGCTATATATATATATATATATATATATATATATATATATATATATATATATATATATATATATATATATATATATATATATATATATATATATATATATATATATATATATATATATATATATATATATATATATATATATATATATATATATATATATATATATATATATATATATATATATATATATATATATATATATATAGAGAGAGAGAGAGAGAGAGAGAGAGAGAGAGAGAGAGAGAGAGAGAGAGAAAGAGAGAAAGAGAGTTCTATAAATTGTTGGCTTTGAGAGTACGGAAGGTTAAAAATGATTCTTTTGACAACAAGTTACGTCACTTTTAATTACTTTTGACATTCATCTAACATTTCCGTGTTGTCATAAAGTTAAAACCATTAACTTAATTATTTTTTAAAAAAACCGCAAAAACGCAAATTTAATTGAACAGAATGTTTTTAAAAACATTAAGAATGTTTTTAAAAATATAAACAATGTTTTTATTTTATTTTTTAAATAAAATATTTTTTTTATTTTTTTTAGCGTAAATCATGTGCGAGTGTTGCTATATCGACTACCTTATAGCCTGACTGACAAATAGCCTGACTCGCAAAGGAGTGCTGCTACATCGACTGAAGGTTTGGTTTGGGCAGTCAGTCTATCAAATAATAAAATAAAAATAAATAAAAAAATTCCGGTCTTGCATTAAAATTATATACATATATATATATATATATATATATATATATATATATATATATATATATATATATATATATATATATATATATATATATATATATATATATATATATATATATATATATATATATAGACGGGATTGTATTTAGTAAATTAAAAACACCATCGGTGTTTTTAATTTACTAAATACAATATTATTATTGATAGTTAAACTTTACTAAATAAAATATTATTATTTATAATTAAAACTTACTACGCTCATCTACCATCTGACCAAAATTTTATTTCCATACGTCTGGAACAGTGCGCATAAACTACAACTGTTTAAAAAACTATCGACATTTCGTGCTAAAATATAGATAGTTTAAAAGCCCTAATATGTAGCTAAAGACTTTTCGTTATCTTCTAGCTAGCTAAATCACAACTATATGCAGCTATCGACATTTTGGATTCAAATCGATTGCTAAAAAGCTGCGATATGTAGCTGTCGACATATCGTAATAAAATCTTTACTTTTAAAGTTCAATTATTATTAGCATTATTTATGGCGACCTTGTAGCTAGCTAAAAAGGCTTACAAATATGAAACTAGCGATAAATCGTAACAAAATTGTTGTCAATAAAACTGCATTATATAGCTAACAAGTAGCTATCGATTTGTGGCTACCCTGTAGCTAGCTACAAAGTTACAATATGTAACTAGCAATAAATCGTAATAAAATCATTGTCAATAAAACTGCATTATATAGCTAGCAAGTAGCTATCGATTTGTGGCTAGCTTGTAGCTAGCTACAAAGCTACAATATGTAACTAGTGATAAATCGTAATAAAATCGTTATCTAAAAACTGCGATATGTAGCTATCAACTAGCTATCGATTTGTGGCTATCTTGTAACTAGCTACAAAGCTACGATACGTAACTAGCGATAAATCGCAATTAAATCGATAGCTAAGAAGCTGCGATATGTAGCTATCGAATAGCTATAGATACATCGCTATCTAGTTGCCAGCTAAATAAATGCGATATGTAGCTAGCATCATATCGTAATAAAATCGCTGTCTATAAAACTGCGTTATGTAGCTATCAACTAGCTATCTATTTTTGGCTACCTTGTAGCTAGCTACAAAGCTGCGATATGTAACTAGCGATAAATCGTAATAAAATCGCTGTCTAAAAAAATGCGATATGTAGCTATCAACTAGCTATCGATTTGTGGCTATCTTGTAACTAGCTACACGCTTAAAAATAGTGTTGAGCCGTAGGCTACATTATTTCGCGTAGAATACAACAATGAGTGTCGACGCCGGCTACACCAACACTATGTGGCTTTAAAAGCCATACTCAGTGTTGCATTTGTAAGGCTACATAAAATGTAGACTTGAAAGCCACACAAATTTTTTCGGCATAATTGTTGCATTTAATCAATGGCTGTATATATACGCTCTTTTTGCGCGACAAAACTGTTGTAAAAAAACCTCAAAATTAGTGTTGCGCTAAATGCAACACTATAGTTTATACACTAATCTGTGTTTTTCTAGACGTTATAAATGTTTTGATTTTTTGTAAGTATATTTATGCGTGATTTATTCCGCCCATTTAGGTCTTCACGTACTATGTATATAACCGGGCGCAATTAAATTATTCTAAATATTATACTAAATTACACATTGTCATTTAGAGTCATATACTAAATTACATATGTATATTATATTGGCTTACAAGAAATAACGGAACGATATCACAATAAAATAATAAAAACTGAAATATAAATTTTATTTTAATTCCGAGTCAATGCATTGTTATAGTATTTCTTTTAAGTATATAAACTCAGTTCAAACTCAAACTCAATTCAGTGAATATTAAATTAAAAACAAGTCTTAAAACATTTATATGCAAAAGCGAGTTAAAACTTTGAAAAATAGATATCGCCGTCAGAGAAGAACCGTATGTCAACATTTTGTGTGTTTTTTTTTTGTCCATTATCAATAAATATTCAGGAGTGTGTGTTCCATAAATATACCACAACAATAAAATTTTAGGAAATAATTAAATAATCAGTCGAATTTTCTGGCAGAAAGTCTTCGCGAATTAAAATTTAAAACTTGATTTTCTTGGAAACACAAAAAAAAAAAGACGGCCTCTTGGTTCTCGACTGACGATATAACAAAAATAAACAAGAAAGTTATAAAAATACTTTTTCGTTTCACAAACATATTGCTTAATTTAATCTTAAACTTTTGGCAATACTTTCTTTACAAGGAATTGACGATAATTCTTTTGCTGTTTATTCCAAGCAAATTTCCCATAAAAATATATACACAAATAAGTTCATGAGGAAAATTGACATTAAATACATAATAAGAGACTAGCAGCAACTCAAAAGCAAATCTAATACTCGGTATGGCTTCCAACCGTATAGCTGTATTATCGACTTATAATTAGAGTTATAATTAGAATTATAAATAGAGTGCCGCAACACTTGAATAAAATCAGTAAAAAAACTTTCTCCTTCTTCAATAACTCAAGGGAGCTTTTTTCTTTCAAGACTGAGGTGTACCTAAATGTTTAAGAAAAATTTTAAAAATGCAGAAAATACAAAGCTCAAAAAAGTAATACTTTTTGATTATAAACCAAATTTAACTTTAAAAAAATGTATAGAAAAAACTTACATCCATTTCTCTATAAAATAAAGCCAAAATTGCATCAAAATCCATTCTTGGACTTTTCTTGCCCTTCTGTGGAGGTGCTATCATAAGAAAAGGGAGCACCTTAAATGCAAGCAAAGTTGTATCTTCTAAATAAAAATAAAAATAAATCAGGGAACAACTTGTATATACTTATAAACCTTTATAGGTAGATTATAAAAAAACATTCTTTTGGATTAAAAGGGTATATTACGTAAGGAACTAATAAATGAAATAAGATGAGAAAGAGAAACTTCGCACTTTAGCAGATTGGCACATAGTCAAGTTGCAGCAGCTTAGTACTTATGCAGATTGACAATTATGTTGTAAAAATTCTTATTTAAGTTATAAAGTTCTTATTTATTAATTCTCCCCACTTAGGGTAGTAGACATATATATACCTTCATTATATTAGTCTTCTGACAAAGTATTTTTGAACATTGAATCTCTTGCTAGTAAAAAAATGTTTTGTTTGCAAGTGTTAAAGCCATCATGCAATGTAATATTACTTGATACCTCTTCAATGAAATAAAACTATCTTTGAAATTCCCTCATTAGTTTCATATCTAGGAGGGCCCATGTTGCATGTTTCAGAAATTACAAAAAGAGAAATTTTTTCTAAGTGTTTATTTTGTTTATATAATGTGTCAAGAAAGTAGTGTTATACATTGCAATAAGCCACTCAAGTGAGTGGCTCATTGCAATGTATAACACTACTTTCAAACTTACTCTTAAACAATAATAGAGTGGAATCTGCTCTAATGTCATTGAAAACTGATAAAGCAGCATTACCAATATCATTGCTTGAAATAACAGGTGATCAATGATCAGCAATGTTTGAAGAAATTTCAAAAAATTCAAGGAAAATCTATTTTTGTGAAATTGGCAAGCTTTGAAAAACTATTTCGAGCGCTGCAATATAGGAAACTAATGATTATGAAATATTGTTAACAGAAACAATTACTTCAGGTATAATGTAATAAGGAACACTGCTGCTTGTTCACAATGAAGATACTAACAAAGGATCAATATATTCTATTGTTTTTTCAGGATAAGTGTAAACTTAATAAGTAAAATTCTCTGGGAAACTAGGCAACAAATATTCTAAAAAATTAGGCAATAAATCGTTACGATTATCATTTAATGGATTACTATACATTTTGCCTCAGGATTTTTATCAATGAAATCATTATCAATATTATGGTAACATTTTACATGTCTAATTAGCGACATATAAGCTGTGCAGGTACATTTACAGCCATTCTGTAAACATTTAATTGGATAAACAATTTCGCCAATACTATTATGACGTTGAAGATGATTTTGAAAAAAAATTAATAGTTTCGTAAAAGTACCACATATATAGCAAATAAACATTTTAATAACTTTTATCAGAAAATATATATATATATATATATATATATATATATATATATATATATATATATATATATATATATATATATATAAAATGTGTAAAATATAACCTATATTTTATACATTTTTTTTAGACTAATGTTATTATTTTATATAATTAATGTTATTATGATATAATTTTTATAACTTCATAATAATGTTGTTAACGTAACTAAAATAATTTTATTAACATTTTAATACAATATATATATATATATATATATATATATATATATATATATATATATATATATATATATATATATATATATATATATATATATATATATATACAATAATAGCATTAGTCTAATTAAATAAAGTCACACAACTAATTCATGTAGTAATGTACCGAAGGTCTTACCTAATTTTTAACAACTGAAAATCGATATTTTCCTCGCTTAACATATTTAATACGATATTACTAAAATATTACAAACCAAATATTTCTTTATGAAAAAGTTAACTATGTATGTGTTTAAAATTACCATGCAGCAATAAAAGTTACACTAAAATTTTCAGTAAAACTGAACGGTTCATAAAAAAAAACATGTCGCTAAAAACATGATTCTAGCCTCTTTTCCAAATAATTCGATACGAGAATCCAAGAAAGTGCAACACAAAGTGTGGCTTTTTTTACGCATATAATGAAGTTTAATTTCATAATTACAAGTGTGGCTTTAAAGCGCACAAGCGTAGCCTTGAAGTCCACAATTTGTGTAGCCAAAAAGACGCTACACTAAGTGTCGTGTTTTTTGTCCACACTATTTTTAAGCGTGTACAAAGCTACGATACGTAACTAGCGATTAATCGTAATTAAATCGATAGCTAAGAAGCTGCGATATGTAGTTATCGAATAGCTAAAGATATACCGCTATCTAGTTGCCAGCTAAACAAATGCGATATGTAGCTAGTGTCATATCGTATTAAAATCGCTGACTAAAAAACTGCGATATATAGCTAGCGATGTATCGTTACAATATCGCAATGTTTAAAATTCAATTATTTTCATAGTTATAATAAATCCAACACTAAAAATCAAATTTTTAAAGATGTTAAAGACTTAAGGAAAAAATTAAATAAGAAAAAAAAAATCGCTCAAAAATCGCTATAAAGCTAGCTAGTCGCTAGCTAATCGCTAGCTCGCTTCCCACCGGGAAGATTTTCAAAATTTTTTTTTAAACTTCTTATATTTATATGAACTGCATTAAATTTATCATGCTCAAGAAATTCTTTTATTTCATAACTATAGAAACAGCTGCAGTTGCTTTGTAAAGCACCTGTTTCGCTAAAAAAAACTTTGATCCGGATCGGACTCTTTGTTGAGTATAAAATCATTGAATTGAAAAATATCAAAATTCTTTAAGTGATTTGAATCCATTTTAGTATTTAAAAACAATAAAAAATTTAAGATAAAATTATAACTCTAATATAAAAGAATTTCTTAATTGTCGTGCGTTACAAGTTTATTATATACAACTTTAGCATATTTACCTTTGGCTCTCAGATCTTTTGCTTCTTTAAATAACTGTTTTCGCAATTCCAAAGTTCTTTCGCTGTAGTCTTCGTTTACGTAAAGCCGATCGTTCCACAATTTTAACTGAACATAGTTATCCAACGCAGTTTTTTTGTCTTTGATTCATTAATTCTAACTTTTAATTAATTCTAGCTTTTAATTAATTCTAACAAATTCATTACTTCTAACAACGCCTTAGGTCAATAATTTATTCAACCAATCTAACGGCGTCATCGCAAAAAAAAAATTTTTATATACGTATAATTACGTATAATAGTCAATTCCATTCGTCATTATAATATTCCAATTCTATATAAATAGTCAATTTACAAAATAATATTTTAGATAAAACGTCCTAAAGAGGGGGGGGACCTACTACCCCCATTCCCCCCCCCCCCCTTCCCTCCTAAAACCCGTCACTGGAATTTTTTTACTTTGTTATTTCCATTTCATACACAAATTCCATACTTGCAGAACTATAGGTTTAAGTGTTTTGTCACTTTAGCTCAATTAATTTTTATCTAAACTTGACTAAATTGGTGTGCACCATGAAAAAGGTTTTTAAGTTTTGAATAAAGTCCTTAACGAGATCGAAAGCTGCAATTTACATCGCAGAAGCAGAATTGAAACTATAATGGCCTCTTAATTTTTTTTCAAAATAATATTTTGTAGCAATCAAGTTATTTTATAAAAAAAATTTTATTATACTAATACTTTCCTTTATAAAAAAAACATAAAAATATTACATCTAATTTTTACATTTCTGTAAAATTTTTAGAAGCTAAAAAACATACCTAAAACATTCAACACTTCAGTTCATAAATATAAAACAAGTATTCGAATGTTGCAAAAGAAATCATTAGATGATGGTAAAAAGCAAAGAAAGACAACAAGAAGATTAAGAAAAGACTTATAGATGTTCAAAATGAAATAGAATTAAAAGATCTTATTTTTCTATAAAAATATTGATAAAAAACATTATTACTTTAATAATGTTTTTTATGAATATTTTTTTGACTTTTTATGACGTCTTTTATGAATTATTTGTTTTGGGTTTTTTTCTAATACGTGTTTTTCTGACTTTTGGATCCTCAACCTCAAACAAAATATTTCAAAAAATAACAATAATATAGCTTTAAAATTTTTACTGTTTAGTTAATATATACCTATGTTATTCACCAAAATCAAGCTAAAAATTTGAAGAAACCTCCTTATTTTTAACCCTAAAATCTATAGCATTTACTAAAGATTGTTTACTAAATAACAGGTAAAAGATATTTTAATGATTTTGGTACATATTTTTAATTTATTAACAAGAATTATTTAGACCAAAGTTAAAAGAACTTTTATTAGTTTTATTAGTTTTAGTTTTTTTAGTGTTTAGTACAGCCGTGGCGCAGTAATTAGAGTTCTGGTTCAGAACCGAGAGGTCCGAGATATGATCCCAGCTCTGACTTGATAAGTGAAATCAGTAGAAAAGAAGACGTGAACATTTTACTCTTTCATGGTGCTCTGTGCTAAGACCTTAAGGACTTCTTGGAGCACCTTAAATACCACCACAAAAAAAAAGGCATACCAAAATTGCATCATTTTTAGATAAAATTTTTCCATAAAAAAAGACATTGTTTTTTTTTTTTTTTTTTTTTTTTGTCAAAAGATTTAGGTTTAGGATAATAAATTTTAAAAATCTACAAATATAACTTATTAAGTCTAATTAAAGATTTGGGCTTTTTTTATAGAAACCTCCATAACAAATCTTTATTGTAAAAATAGTGTGAACAAACAGTTTTCGAGTTTTTAGAATTTTATTGAATAAAAAAATAGCTATTACTTTCTTGAACGTATTAATATAAAAACTAATAAAACATTATACAAATTTTTAAGGAAAGTTTTTTTTGACCTTATTCGCAATTTCATGCTTAAGGAAGCCAAATAAGATAGGACGAATAAGTTTGGATAGTGATGGAGGAAGGAATTTTTGATTAATATTGAATTATTTTAGTATTTTGTATCACATTTGCGACTCTAAAAAAAAAAAAAGGTCCTTTATTTGTAAGTTTTTTTAGGACTTTCAAATTCTGATAAAAAGGGGGGGGAGGGCATACCCCATGCACACACACTCCCCTGGATCTATTATTGCTTTTAAATAATATTTTTGTAACATTTTTTATATGAATTTTTTTTTTCTTTTTTTAGTTTATTTTAGGTGCTCCAGAAAATCGTTTCATCACAGATGAAACAACTTTTTGGAACACCTAAACGTTTTGTTCACGCGAAAGAGCATTTGAAAGAAAATTCACGCCTCCTTCCTTACCGATGTTATAAAACTGGCCCATTTTTCATTCGTGCCTAAAATAAATTTGTCCGAAAATCTTGTGCCGATGTTATAAAATTGTAGTTTATACAGATTTTTGTTTTTTTTTTTAGCGTATTTTAGTGTTGTTGATAACATGAACTCAGAAAAAAAAGCCTGGTAACTGACTAAATCCAATTTGTTCTTGGGAGGCTCGAAGGCGCATTTCTCACACAAGAAACGCGATTTGGCACTCGTTCTATATCCGTAAGTTTTTTTCTAATATATAAATAAGTATATAAAGTTACTTTAAATAATTATGTTGTTAAGTTTTCCAAAATAGTATATTTTAATGTTTAAATTATTTAATCGAATAATAATTTAACTGTTACTTGATTAATATTTTTGATGTTTAATATAACTTCTATGATTAGTAACCAAGAAATTGTTAAGTCATTTTATTCATCGAATATTTTTCATTTTTATTTGTTTGTGTGGTACCCTATAGTTTTTTCAGGTATGCATTCGTAAATTTTGTTCTTTGCTTTCTAGAAGCATCGGTGGATGAGATATCGAAAGTGAATTATCACTCTTACCGTAGCTCTAAGTGATTAAAATCACTTAATCTATTATAACTAATAAGTTATGATCTTTATATAGTATAGCATTGTTATGTTAAGCTTAAGGAAACAAATCATGTTCACCTCATAAAATGCATTTATAGTACAAGACATGGAAAATCATTTGTTTAAAAATCCTTTTATGCTACTTGAATTGGATACCTTTTAAAAGTTTGGGCTTGTTCAAATCACGGATTTTACATATTGATTGCTACTCAAATAATTACCTATTATGGCTGCTTGTACCTTTTTTAAATCGATCTTTGAACAAAATATGTAAGCAAAGTAATCTCCACCTTTTGATAAACTATTATCCCTAAAATATGAAAAATCTAAACTGAAATAGACGACTTGGAGTCAATCTTTGACCATAGTTTTTATCATACCAAAATCATATAAATTAATCTACTTTTTCCAAAGTTAGCTTTAATTTTAACCAATCTGAATCACAATCACTTCCTAATTTGTATACTTAAAACTTTCACCCAAAGAAAAATAATATCTCTGCAAATTTTAATTTTATTTATTTTAATTTAATATCAATGTTTTTTATGAATTTATTACAAATGAAGAGTGATGTATCTTTATCTCCTTTGGATAAAAAATTAAAACTTGAAAAGTAATTTTGTTTAAAAATTTTTAAAAGGCAAGTAGATTTTGACTAAATTAAAATTATTTAAACTTATAATCAGTAAAGAAGTAATCTTTCAAGAAAGTTGTAAAATACGAGAAAAATCATAATGGAAGTAGGTATCTTGGTGTTACCCGAAACTAATAAATCAATCAACAAATCAAAATAAATAATTATATTCTTCTTTCAAATGTATGTTTTTATTCTTACAAATCATGAGCCACAAATCAAATTGTTATTGTATACTTAAAACCAGAGAAAAACCATAAGTATGCAAATTTTATTTTATTTATTTGGTATGAAATTTATACTCAGATGATAATCAAGTTTCCTGATTGATTTATTCCAACTGAAGAACATTGTAATCTCATAAGTTCTTTGGAACGGCTAAAAATTTTGAAACTAAAAAACTTATTCACCTTCAAATCACTTTCATGAAAGGCAAGTAAATTGATCAAGTCAATAAAAGGCAGACAAAAACTTTAATCTATACACAGGCAAGTTTTTCTGGCATTGGTTATGTAATTCAAACAGTTTCAAGGATTTTACAGAAGTTTAGTTATTTTTTATGATGTAGCATAAAATTGAATGAGCTCAAGCCATATGGTTAATAGGTTTCACACTATTAAATTAAGAAAGTTACTTGGATTTTATAGAAAACCTCTAATAGTAATTAACAACTTCAAATTCATCAAATATTTCTGGAAAATTATCTGCTTAACATCATGTGTTATTAAAATGATATTTAAATTGTAATTGCAAAAGCATCTCATTTTATTCAACATAACACTACAATACCTGTTTGATATGATTTCTAATGGTTTGGCATAACATGTATACCTGATTTTATTAATTAACTCTAACTACGTTATATTTAGTAGCATAATTTGATTATCTGATGTCATGGATGTAATTCCTGCCATGAAATTATTATTAATTTATTTAAATTGTTTAATGAATAATTTTATCATAAAGTTTATAAACCAGATGTCTTATCATGTCTTCATTATATAAACAAAGATAAGAAGTTTAATTCAAAATCTTTTATGGTTATCTATTTTTAATTACCAAAAATCAAAATGCTTATCCCTTTTTAAAATGGAAGAATGTTTGATTATTGGAAATAATACCTATTGTCGAAATTTTTTCATTTGCAGGATTTTTTTTACCAAGTAAAAGTATCATGAAGACATTTATTTGCCTTCAGTCTTTAATTTAATCTGAAGCTACATTGGAAATTTATGTTCTAATACCTACCTTTTTTATAGTTATTGCTTAAAAAGATGAGTAGTGAGTTGTTTGTTGGCAATCTGAACCCTGAAGTTCGTGTTCGTGATCTTGAAAATTGTTTTGGACGTTATGGTAAAATTGTACGTTGTGATTTAAAAAAAAACTTTGGATTTATTCAATTTGAAGATCGGCGTGATGCAGAGATTGCCATTCAAAAAGAGAACAATCGACGTTTATTGGGATCTGATATGACTGTTGAATGGGCACGTGGTACTGTTGGGGACAAAATGCGAGGTAATGGTCCACCACCATTTCGCAAACCACATTCTCCTGATCGATTTCAAGGTCGTGGTGGTCCTCCTTTTATTAGTCGTCCTAGATCCCCGCCAGTTCGCGGAAGAGATCGTTCTCCCATTTTGCGAGGAAGAGATCGTTCTCCTGGTATTCGTCAAGCAATGGGTCGCGGAAGAGAGCGTTCTCCCCTGGGAAGAAGTTTTCAACCGTTTCCACCACGCGAAGGTGGAAGGGATGATAGATTTGGAGGACGTCGCTCGTTCGATAATCGTGAGAATTTTAATGATAGTTCAAAATTTAGTGATCGTGGTCCACCTACTAGAGGAAGCAATGATAGATTTCCACCAAGAGAAAGATTTAATCGAAGTGAACGATTTCCAAATGATAGACCTAGTAACCGAGGGCCTCCTCCTGGTGATCGTAGTTTTAATCGTGGACCACCACTAAATGAACGAAGAGGGCCTATGGAAAGAGGAAGTCGTGGACCACCACCCAGAATAAATGGTTTTGACGACCGCAGAGATCGATTTCCTGAAAAACGTGATGGTTTTGGAGAAAGGAGGAATTTTGGAGGTGGCCCAAGACGCTTCTAATTCCGTGGTGTTAATCGCATTTTAACTTTAGATGTTATGCATTTAAAAAATAAAAATGAAAGATCAAAACTTCAAAGTACTTTATTGATGCCTTAATGAAACAGTCATTAAGCTTCTGCATATTAAAAATCATCTACATACTTTGTTTTTTGAAATGTTATAACAAGGGAAAGGGTACAGCCAATGAAAACACTTTTCAGGAATCAAAACATGTTCAAAGTACCTGAAGTCAACCTACTAAAGATTGCAATTTTTTGTTAAAAAAAAGCTGCAAAATGTGCCATGTATCAAAACACAAAAATGGTAATTTTTGAAATGCAGAATGCTTAGTAATGACAAAGAGTATGCATATTGCATGATTTGTTTTAATCGGAATTTGATTTTATGATTTTTTTAAATAGTATTCTTTGTATAATTATTTGCCTTTCAAATGTTTATCCAAATAGCAACTTGCAGACATTTTTTGTTCCTGTTTGATATTTGTTATATATTGTTTTCATATTGTGTTACGTTGATTTTTTTTTTTTAATTTTTGCTTTGTCATTATGCATACATAATCATATAAATGTTTACTATTTAAGTTTAAATCAAAATCAAATCTTTTGTAATATAATTTCAGTTTTATATCATAGCTTTTTAGGTGGTATGAAAATCAGATTCTTGTTTTTTTTTTTTTTTTTTTTTTTTTTTTTTTTTTTTTTATGCAGTGATTGTCAAGCAGGCAATTTTATATTGTTTGTTTGAGTACTAGTGGTTTAAAACCCTGTAATGGTCTCAATCTATATTATACATTGAATGCTTTCTTTTTATTTATTCAGTGTTTCAGCTACTACTTTTCAACACTTCATAAATTTTGAATGTTAACAACTATGCCAGATTTGTTTTTAGCCAAGTATTATCATAAAATAGTTCTAGCTTGTAATTAACAGTTTAAGTATAACCTCGACAGATGTTCAATCATATTGAGTTATTTTGAAAACATTCAATATTTGCAAATTGCAAGAATTGATTATTTTTAATTTAACTTTTTTGATTAAATTTCTTATCCATCAATCTTGTTATTAGTTATATCGTAATTATCAGTTAAATATTATTTCCATCAGGTGCTTGATACAAGGTGGGTTGGAGATTTTTGTCCAGATCTAATTAAAAGGGGTGTGTGCGAGTATTCTCTAATATCTAATAAACGAGATGTTATATTGACAAAATAGGGCAAAATTCGTATTTTATCACTGTTGTTTTATCATAATTTAGTAGGATTTAATATGCTTATATACGTTTTATTACTATGGTGAGGGAGGAAAATGTTATGTGCTTGGTGTAGGGGCTAGAAGCTCATTTTTGACCAAATCAAGTTTATGAAATTTTTATAAGTAAACGATTTTTTAGAGCCTGTTAACGCATTGAAACCTTTTTTAATTTTGTGATGAAGTTTCTGTTTTAATAACTAGTGAAAAATAATAAACAAATGTCTTTAAAAAGTTGGGGGGGGGGTAGGAAATTTTCCGAAAATTAATAAAATATCTATTGCGTATTAAGCACCTTAGATTAAACTAACCAGCTGTGGTGTAGTTCTTGGAGTTCTGGTAGCAATATGTTTGTATGTTTAAGGGCATTACTACCTCTGCTAAAAGTTGCAGTGAATATGTACACGGTTTGACGATATTTTCATTATTTTAAAATTAGATTAATTTTTCTTCATAATAAAAGCTATTGATTTTTTTTTTTATTGTGCGTACAATTCTCAGCAAAAATGCTTTAAATCGATTGGTTTAAAGTATTTGAAACTTACAAGATCTTTAGGCAGGGTGAATAAAAAAAAAAGTTCTGAGCTGAAGCTAAAAAGCAAATTTTTACAACTAAAGCAATTGCTTAAAAGCACTTGAATAAATTTTAACTTTAGATCATAAGCAAATGCTTTATACCGCTATATACCAATATAGTCTGCTTTTACTTGTGTGTTTAAAAATGGCTACCATATAAATCAGTCTGATAATAATATAAACTAACGTTTAGATATAATTTTGTAATATTTAGATCATAAGCGAATGCTTTATCATGATTTGTTTTTTTTTTAGCTTTTTCACTCATTACTCAGAAAAATAAAAAGTTAAAAAACAACTTAGCTAAAAGCGAAATTAAAAAGAGAAGGGAAAACAAATCCGGATTTTTTCAGGATATTTTATCGAAACAATTTTCCGGATTTTTAAATTATGACTATATATGAACTATCATAGATGCTTGTAATATATAAAGTAATTGCTCACCGTTTTTTTAGTTGTAGCCATTTCATTCGCGCGCTTTTCTCATTCAAAGTCAATTTATAAATATTTATGAATAAGAGAAAGCAACTACTCAACACTTTGAGTAAAAGCTTTCACGCAAAAAAAGTTTTTATAAGCGTAAAGTTAAAACTAGTAACTAAGTAAACTAAATCTTCTAAAACGCAAAAACAACAGTTCGTTTTTATTCACCCGTCCTTTTATATCGTAAAAATATGCTATAGACTAAAATTGCGCAGACGCGTGTCAGTTATGACATAATTATTTGTAGGTGTTAGTTTATAACAAAGCAAAAGTACGTCTAATTCCGTATATTTTTGCGTCGGACTTGTTTTAATTCTTCGTACACATACAACAAATTTTTTAATTTATCATGGTACAGGTTATTTCGTGTTTTGACTATTATATTTTATCTATGCTATGAATATTATAAAACATAATATATATTATATTTTTATAATAAATATAAATCTTACTCATTTACATCCCTTATTTAAATAAAATCTATAATGACAGTACACTAACCCTTTCACTACCCGTGAACCGCACTGCGGTACAAAAAAATCGTGATAATTTTCCGGTGACCCGCCTAGCGGTACTAAATATTGGCGTTTTGCGCTTTGACTGCCAAGTTAATTTCTGGTTTGATTAGGAACTAGAATAAATTGTCTAGTCAGCAAAAAAAACCGCATGTCAAGAGCCGGTTGCGTCAAATAAGTAGCCCGTTAAAAAAGTGGACAAAATGTAATATTTGCGCATGCGTTAGTATACGGATACTTAACGCGTATAAGCGTTAATATAAGTTAAAAATTGAGCAATCAAGGCATATTTCGTTTACCCAAACTTTATGTCAAACTGAAACAAACGTTGTCGAGGTAAGTGTTACAATGTTATTTTAAAACCAATTTATGTTTTTTCTATAGCATTAACTTTAGTTAATAAAAATAAATTTAAAAAATTGAAGCACGAATAATTTTTCTATCACAAAAAAAAAAATTAAAAATGGATGGAAACGAAACCGCATATCTTTCATTATGTAGCTTGTATTTAAAATAACATTTTTTTTGTTTAAACATTGGTAATGTTGTCTTATATGCATAAATTTTTTTTTCCTTTAAAAAAAAATGATGTTACGGTTAGGATAATTGCTGATAGACATTATTCTAATGACGTAACCTTCTGGGATACTTTTTGCAACGCATGTTTATTTTGCAATACTTTAGATATAGTACTTGGTAGCAAAGTTGTTAACAAGGTCTAAAGTAGCATAGCCAATAGAGCAGGTCATTTTTCAAATTTTCCCAGTAAATGCTTAGGTCATATGATTTTTAAATGTTTCGGCCCTTATATAAAATTAATCAAAAAAAAAAATTATTTTTAGGTTTTCAAATTTTGACCTAAAAAATAGAGGTGTACCAGATATTTTTACCGGATATTGAACTTTTCTGAAGTTCTATGATTGTTAATGAAGAAAAAAAAAGTCTTGCCATTCGACATTAAATAGTGTTCAAGATTAAAAAAAATAAAATATAAAAAAAAACTGATATAACACAGGTATATGCGTTAATAATGTATAAGGAAAAATCGTTCTTACAGCCAAATTTTTGTTTTTTTTAATTACTATTTTCTATACTTCGTCAGCTCATGACCCATCTCATTTTTTCTCTTGTTTTTTTAAAGTAAGATCTTGAATACTATTTATTGCAGACAGGCAAGACTTGTTTTTTTTCATGAACACTTATAGAACTTTAGAAAAGTTCAATATCCGGTACACCTCTACTAAAAAATCGAGGTTTTGGGTAGAAAGCGCTATATACGCGGTTTGCCACAACTTTTGACCGGTTTCTTCGATTGACTCAAAATTATCTTTTATGGAATCCTCGATCCCAAATACCCCTAATTAGACACCTAGATAATCATTTTAGCTTAAAACTTATAATTATAAAAGTTTACTAAAGTCGTTATTTTTGATATATTTTGCTGTAATATCTTCCATAACAATGTTATGTGATGTAATGCAGCAAAACAGTTTCAAAGGATTTCTCAATCACAACGCGAGCCACAACCAATTTGAAACATGAAAAATCATTAGTTATTGTTTATAGCAGTATTTACCAATTTATCATTCACAATGCATGAGTAAACTTAATTTTACGAAATATACAATAAATATAAACTTATTGCTTAAAAAAGCTTAAGCAAATTCTGTTTAGATTCTAAAACAAGAAGAAGTTCTCTGTGAGCTATTGTTGCCTCTATAAATGCGTCTCGTCTTTCATGTCCATAAACTATACTAGAAGCTCTTGTAACTTCTTTCACAATTCTTTCTATGGATTGCCCATGTACAGGAAATTCTGGAACTTCCATTGGGACTTCTAAAAACTTTGTAGGTTTTTCTTTACCAATCTTGCATAGGAGCAAAGGTTCGTAAATATAATATTTCCAATCAATAAATTCGATAATAGTTTCAACATTAGTATTTATATTTGGGATATTTCTTGGTCTAACAGCTGTAGTTCCTAGCAAGCTGGAACTCCTTATTGAAAGTATTTTATTCACTGTAAACTTCCTCTCCTCTTTATCTTTGTTGCATAGTAGTGCTTGTAGAATAGATTCAGTATGAGCATTCCAGGCTGAAAAAACATAGGGCAAAACTGCTTGTTGAATATTTAAGTTCATTTTTCGGATAATTCCAGCTGTTTGATAATATGGTATGGTCCATTGGTCCATTTATGTTTTACCTAAACATTAATAATACATTTTTTTAAAAATAAATAGACGATTATCAAACTACATATAAACATTTCTTACTTTAATTTCTAACCATAATACAGAATATACATTAACGCAAAACTGTACAAGTTATTTTAAATTCTCAACATCATTTTTATTTAGTCCATGCTCTAAACACCAAATTCTGCAAAGTCTACTTGCCAAATTCAATCAGCGTGCGTTATTGTGGGCACCAACTTGAATTTCTTTTAAATTTTTGGACATTATTTTATTTTCAATAGCCTTTGTTATGCGGTATAGATATTTTTGATCACTCGATAAAGTTTTTAAAATATCTTCATCAATATCTAATAAATTAATTTCAGTATCTATATCTTGAATCACAGTGGAAATTATGAGATCATTGGCAATAGGAACAAGTTTACCAATATTGC